AGACTGAAGCTTATATCTTCAGCTGGTTCATCTCATTCATTGTCACTGCATTTCTGCTGTTGTATTATCTTTTATTCGTGGACCATGTCCTCACATATGTTCCATTATTTATATATACTATGTAAGTGTGTGTGTTCATGTAATATATGTGAACATATACATTGTATATATATAAATAAAAACATGTGCACATGTATGGGCATGTACACAGCATGCATAAAATCTTAGAGCCACACTATAGGCAGTGTTTTATCCAGAGAACGTTGTAACAGAGTGGAGGGAGGGAAGTAGTCTTCCTTTTTGCTCCTGTCATAGGACAAACAAGACTGTGACTGACTGCAATACAGGACACAGTCTTTGCTTCCCTCTGTATTTTGCCAAACTTTATTTCACTAGAGGGGCAATCACAGGAAGAAGTGCTGGAGTCTGTTGCAGGATAAAATAATAAAATATGTTTTTATGGCACTGCACATTGCCCATCTCCTCAGCGTGTTTCAAAGGTAGCATTATTCAAGGTGATATAATTCTTATTTCACTGGCATCTGCCAGTGATCCCTGGGAGTTCCACTTTCCTGTTGGGATGTTCTCTTACACTGTGCACATGAACCAGAACAGCCCACTGTTGATGGAAGCTCAGTGTGGCCACACACAGATGATCCAAGCAACAGCCTTCTTCAGGCTGCACAGCTCTACAGTTGTGCTAACTTCCTGCTCAGGAGCAGGCTGATTTCCTGAGGTCTATGAATGCATACCCTTCTTCCTAAAATGAAACATTTGGGGATTGGACTAGGTGACATTTTGAGGTCCATTCTAATCCCTACTGTTTTGTGATTTTGTGATTTTCACATTCCCTTGCTTCAAAAATATATTTGGAAAATGAATTGATTTCTATCAAGTTAGATACATAAATAATTTGTGTCTCAGGAAAGTTTCAAAAAGTGGATTTTTCTATTAAAAAGCATATAAATCATATTAAGAAGAATTTTATTTTTTTTTTTTAAATCCTAAAGAAATTGAAAATTTCAGCACTTTGAAACTTCTTAAGAAAATGTAGTATTATTTATGTAGTACTTTATAGATTTGTCAGTGGGCACTGCTGGCAAAAAAAGATGGATGGTTTTGGCCTGACACATCTGTAACCTTGATTTAGAACTTTGTTTAAATATTATCAAATTATAAGCCACATTAGGATTCATTAGGATTCAAGCTGAAAATGTATTATCCATAAACTGTGTCTGAAAAACCCCAGTTTTTCATTCACAAGAAATCTACCTAAATACTATGTCTTTACATCACATAACTAGATATTTTTATTGACTAACAAGCTTTTATGTTGGGGAAAACAAACTACTTTATTGATTTCCAACAGCATTTCCTCATAACTAAAATCACAGCATGGTTGTGTTTCATTCAATACAATGAGATTTAAAAATTCATTTATTTGGTAGAATTGAATAACAAACTACTTGAATAATTTTTCTTACTGCATTAGGTGATGTTAGTAGTATTTATTAGACAGGTTTCATCTTCACGTGAAAACAATATTTTTTAAAAAATGAGCTACAAATAAAATCTGAATTTGCATCTACCTACCAATATAACAACTGAATCTCCATCATAGCTCTTCCATCATAACCTCAGAAATTCATTTCACAGACACTCAGTAGTTCCACTCCCAGGTTCCAGGCAGTGCTGAAGAACTTAGTGGTACAAAGCCACTCATTATACACAGTCATGGTATTTACTTTAGTAAAGACACAACTTGAATGAAATGTAATAGCTTCTGATGCAGAGATCAAGCTGTATTTGATGTAACTTTGTATTTTGTTTCCGCATTTGTATTTAAGTGCTGTCACCTCTGATGCACAGCATCTGGGCAGATTTTTTCAAAATCAGCAAATGCCCTGCACGAAGCTCATAAAAATTTTTTCCTAATTGCATAATACTTTAAAATTATTTTTCTCAGACAGCCATAAATTTTTGGATGTGTTGTTTGTCTTTAAAAGTTAATCTAACCTCAAGATACAACCATGACTTTGTATTAGTGCTATTGTACAAGCATCAAATGGAGGAGGGTAATTTTGAAACTACCATCATCCTCTAATCATCCATTTCTTTGCCTTATCTTTCCTATGTTTCCATTTTTTTCTTGCAAGACATTATTATAACATTGCTTTAACATTATTTTTCTTTAAATTAGTGACATGTTAGCTTATTTCAATTTAAATTACTTTTAATAAAGGCTTATATATTGAAAAGAGTAAGTCTAGTAAGGAAATTTCAGAAAATTCCAAGAGACACTGCATACTTGGCTAATGTTTGAATGAATTTTTAATGAAAATAAATGATAAGCAGAGAAAATCTTTCTTTAAACAGTTGCCTTTTTATCCTGAAGATGACAAGCCAGACATTTCTGGTTCTGTACAGCAGGTCCCTAGAAGTCCCTGCTGTTTTTCCAAAAGGTAAAGAGAATTTGTAGGGTTCAAATGCAGCCTACATTTCAATTTCAAATGTGATCTTTTGTATGTGACCGATATTTACTGATATGAGCAAAGATGACGTTCTCTAACCCAGTGCTGACTAGAGTACAAAGAGACATGTTAGAACACTCTGCAAGTTGCAAGTGCTATGAAATATTCATTGGACACTTCAAGGGTTGTTTTCTTTTTTTCCACATGAAAGTGCTTTGCTTGTTGTAGCTGATCTTTTCCAGAGCTCACAGAAAAGTATTTGCCAACACCACCTTTCCCTTCTCTAGTGCTACTAATTGAAATGAAACAAAATCATTTGCACTGTGTTAATTGTTAACTCATGATATTTAATTGCGTCACAATTTTTTGCACACAGGTACACCTTTGCCTGATTAAGGAACCATAGATTAGACACCAGATGTCTGACAGAATCACATCTTATTACTAATTAATAATAGACAAGATAAGTCATTAAATAGACCACAAAGCCCATCTTTTTCATGCATACCTAACTGTAAGATGTATGTGTCAGATCTTTATGAACCAGCTACTTTGTTGGCAGTTGAATCTGATTAGACTTTCCTTCTCAGACTTTTTTTTTAATCCCAAAACACTGAGAAATCAAATTGCTATTATTCAACTGAAAAACTGGCAAACCAGTGTAGCTATATGAACAATGAGATATAAGTGCTGCTTTTTTAAAAACCCTGTTTTTGTACTTTCCAAAGATTTCTCTAAATAATTTCAATTCACAAAAATCACATGGAATTAAAACTACGTAAACTTCATTTTTTATTCTGAACTTAGGAATTAAAGAATGCATGTAAATAAATAGTCATGATAACTCATACAGAACTCACAGACTCATTGATCTACTTTATTTGCATAGAGTGCATTTAAGACTGGGGCATAGTCAGCAGTGGGATTTTTCTGAGAGTTATATCTACAAATCAAACCAGTGACTTTATTTGTAAAAACGATTTTACCATCTGAATTAAATGTCAGTTGAAAAGTAGCATTTGCAAAAGTGAAGCTGGAAGAGAAAACTCTGATTCCACCAATAAAATTTAAGTGAAATCCATCCAGAAGTCTGAATACAAAAAAAAAAAAAAAAAATCATAATCTCATCCAAGCGTCTTTAGTATATGTAATAGCCTGTCTTTTGTTTCAAGACTTATCAACTCCTTTCAAAACTAATAATCTGTCTCCTAAGTCCTCATGCTTTTTATAAATTCAGCTAATATTATTCTAAATAAAATACTCTTTTTCACATTATTTCAAATACAATAGCCTCCACACACAAAAGAAGCATTAATGTCACTAGTAAAAACACTTCACTGTCTTTTGGATTTACTTCCTCTTCTATTTAAGGTTGTCGGGAGATCCAGCTAGACTGTTATGAGGTGAAAACCCATAATACTTTGACAGTGCAATTAGTGAAAGTACTGCTTAAAAAATCACGATGGAAAGTTTCAGGATTTCATGTTTTTTTTTTTTAAAGGGCTCACTTTCATGAGAATTCCCTGTGCAGGGAGAAGAGTCCAAATCTGGGAAGTAAATTATTAGAATGGAGCATTCCAAACAGATTTAGTTGCATAAATTCTTTTCCCCTAATGACTAAGTGAAAATTGCAAGTGTATCTGTTTGACTGTTTCCACAAAATGATATGTCTAGAATGGGCAGTATCTTGCAAGAATTATCTTGTTTGTGCCTGCATTTCCTTTCTACATTTCTCATACTTTCTTATTCAGGCATGGAAAGATTGTAGAAATTCTTGTTTGTTCACACTGAATTTCACAATAGTCTTATTTACTGTTGCATGCCTTTCAGAGTCCTTTTATTTCCCATGACTACGAGTGGATTTTAGTGTGAGAGGCAACTGAGTATAAATAACAATGTATTTCAAGTTTGTAAGATGACTTTTTCTTCACTGAGACGTCTATAAAGTGAGATGAAGCATTTCTGTATTAACTCAATTTTAGGAACAGAAAATAAAGGTGAAAAGGTGACATTTTTGGTCAGAATCTGGCTAAAGAGATAATACTGACCATTCACAAATAAGATATTAGGAATCATTTGTACTTTAAGAACAGACATGTACTGTTCAGTACATTTGCAAATGGTCTTGGAAAGACAATAATGATACTAAGCATTCCAGGCAGGTAAGGACAAGGGCTTCCTACTCACTGCTGGAGAGAATCTTGAGTAACATAGAAGATTAAATTAAATGCAATAAATGTGAAGTGAGCAATACAGGATATAAAGTATGTATGTATGAAATAAGTTTGGAATTAGGTTATTAGTAATTTTCAAAAAAGACGGTTTTTTGAAAATGCTGACTCAATCATTAAAAGACTACTAGGTACCTTGGAGTCATTAAGAAAATGCAGAGAGTATAAGTGTAAAATATTATTAGCATCTCCATAAATCTGTGTTGTAGTAGTAACTCTGTGTGATGCCAGCAGTTCTGTTTCCCTGTACTGAAGATGTATAGTAGAAAGGGAAAAGTAGTGCAGAAAATTAACAAAGATGGTCAAAGTTATCACAGAAGATATGCATGAAGTGGTTTATACATATGGACAGTGCAATCAGCACTGGGAGAGGAATGACAGGACTGGAAGCACACAGTCGAGACATAACAAATATTATCCGTACATAATCATAGAACCACAGATTTGTAAGACTTGGAAAGGACCTCCAGAGATCATCGAGTCCAATCCCTCTACAAAAGCAGGCTCGCTACAACAGGTTGCACATGTAGGCATCCAAACATGTCTTGAATACCTCCAGAGGAGACTCCACAACCTCTCTAGGCAGCCTGTTCCAGTGCTAAATCACCCTTACTGTGAAGACGTTCTTTCACATATTGGTGTGGAACTTCCTGTGCTCCAATTTATGCCCATCTCTGCTTGTCCTGTCCCCACAGACCACTGAAAAGAGGTTGGCCATGTCCCTTTGTCTCCCAGACTGAAGATATTTGTAAACACTAATAAAATCCCCTCTCGGTCTTCTTTTCTCACGGCTGAACAGACCCATTTCACTCAGACTTTCCTCATAGGAGAGATGCTCCAGGCCCTTTAAAGTCTTTGTGGTCCTCTGCTGGACTCTTTCCAAGAGATCCTTGTCTTTTTTTATACTGGGGAGCCCAGAACTGGATACAGTACTCCAAGAGAGGCTTGACCTGCTGGCCATGCTCTTTTTAATGCACCCGAGGATACCATTGGCCTTCTTGGCCACCAGGGCACACTGATGGCTCATGGCCAACCTGTCATTCACCAGAACCCCTGGGTCCTTTTCTGCAGAGCTTCTCTTCAGAAGGTCATTCCCCAAACTGTACTGATAAAGGCAGTTAGTTATTCCTTCCCAGGTACAAGACTCTACACTTGGCTTTTGGTAAACCTCATCTGGTTTCTTACAGCCTAGCTCTCCAGCCTCACTTGGTCCTGCTGAATGGCAAGACAGCTTTCTGGCGTGTCAACCACTCCTCCCAGTTTTGTAACATTGACATATTTGTTGAGGGTGGACACTATCCCCTCATCAAGATAATAAATGAAGATATTGAACAAGATTAGAGTTAGCACAACCCCTGGGAAATACTGCTAACCACAGGTCTCCAACTGGGCTCTGCATCACTGATGACAATTCTCAACCCACCTCACCATCCACTCATCTATCCTACACTTTCTCAGCTTTGTTATTAGGATGTCATGGAAGAGAATATCAAAAGCCTTGCTGAAGTTGAGGTAGATATTATCCACTGCTCTGCCCCATCTACCCAGCCAGTGATGCCACTACAGAAGGCTACAAGGTTGATACGTTCAAATCTAACTCAAATAGGTATATCCAGTAGGTGAGATGCAGAAATGTTGTGAACATTTTAAATGTCCTGGGCTTCAGATAGTCATCAAGCAAGATCTCAGTAGAAAAATCCTTCAAAAAACGTCAGGATAAGATCTGTCTTGTCTGGTGACTGTAAGCCTGCCAGGCCACCTCTTGACCTTTCACATCTATCTTATGTGGAACAAACTGACTACATATGAGTACATCCTGCAGCAGCATGCCCATGAAGAAGCCAAAGAAGCAGACAAGCAGCTGGATCCTTGTCTCTCTCAGGTCAGGAAGAGGACTTACTTTCAGCTAACCCTGGCCATACATACCCTGGTGTTCAGGTAGAGGACTTCTCAGCAGTCAATTCAGAAAAATGCTTTTCAAAGCTCTACGTCCACACCAATGAAGCTGTTCCTGAACGCAGCTCCTCCCCTGACCTCCCATATCTTCACTTTGTGGCCTCTTTGCAGATACATAAAAAAAGGACAAAGAAGATGCTAAGGACTTCTTTCTCAGTGATGGAGAACAGATCTAAACCACACACTGGAAACTGGGCTTCTTTTCCAGGTCCCCAGTCAGCTCACACAACTGATGTCACCTCCTCCTCCCACAGCCCTCTCAGCCCTCTCCTCCTGGTGCTCACCATTCTCCCAGCTGACTATCACTGCTGAGTCCATGGATGAGATTCCTGTGGCTCAGACTCACCTCGGCAACACAGCCCTTCACAGCCCTTATAAGAACAGCTCAAGTTGTCCTCGGCGCTGTCCTGTGTCCACACCTAATCCCAAATATTGCAAAGAGAAAAGTTTGCATTCTGGACACAAGGTGAAAAGGAAAAGCTGCCAGCAAGACAGACATGTGGAGCAAAATCTGGAACTCGGAGAAGCTCATGTCTGTCAGCCCCAGCCTGATGGGAGCACATCTGAGCCACAGCACAGAAAATGCACCAGCAAACAGCATCTGGGCAGGCATGACCCATGCTTAAAGGATATAAGGAAAAACACCACAATGCCTGAGTGACCATCCTTCCAAAGCCACAGACTTGCTTCACAGACTTGTGAAGCAAGATGTTATTTTTCTGTTTCTATTCAAAGCTTTTCACTCAACAGCAACTCATTTTGTGGTGACAGCAGCATCCCTGTGTGTGATATTGTCCAACTTCCAGCACACTTATCTGGGAGGCAGCAAAAGCCCTGCTGCATCATATCCTTCTGCATTTCACTCATCTCTCAGGACAAGGGGAAATGGCTTTAAGTAGCATCAGGGTAAGTTTAGGTTGGATATCAGCAAAGTTATTTACAAAAAGGGTTGTTAAACACTGGAATAGGCTCCCTGGGGAGATGGTTGAGTCACCGTCCCTGGATGTGTTTAAAAACTGTTTGGATGTGGTGCTTAGGGACATGATTTAGCAGAAGGTTGTTAGGGTAGTATGGTTAGGTTGTGGTTGGACTTAATGATCCTTAAGGTCTTCTCCAATCTGAGTGATTCCATGATTCTATGAAATTCCTTCCTAGCATCCAGGCAACTGTGGGGGCTTAAAAGCAATTGGTAGCTAAGCTCTCACTCTCTCCTCAGCAAAACAGGAGGAGAAAACACAGTGGAAAAAAATAATGGACTGAGATAAGGAGATAAGGGAGATCACTCCTCAATTACTGTCATGGAGAGAACAGCCTCAGCACATGGGAGATGTAACTTATTTACTATTGATAATAGCTTAGAGCAGTGAAAACTAAAGGCAAAGTAAATCATATTTCCCCCTCAACTCTCTTCTGTCTCATCTTCACTCTACTCTCCATTGTGGCCATCCCTACCATAGGACACTGTCCTTCCCCATCTGGTCCTATATGGGCTTTCCACAGGCTGCCTCCTTCAGGCACCATGGGCTCCTCCATGTCTGCATGCAGAGATTTGCTCCACAGCAGCTTCCCCTGCGCTACAGGGAGATGCTGCTCTGTGCTTGGAGCTCCTCTATCTCCTCTGCTGACCTTGGGAATGGTTCTCTCACTGTTCCTCACTCCCACCTGCTATTGCACAGCATTTTTCCCTCTCAGAGGCACAACCTAGAGGCACACCCAGCATCACTCATGGCTCAGCTCTGGCAGCAGAAGATTCATTTTGGACCAGCTGGAGCTGGCTCTGATCTGACATGTGGCAGCTGCTGGACCCTTCACACAGAAGTCACCTTGAAGTCCCAGTGCCAAAAACCTCACCACATAAACCTAGTTAAGAGTACACATAGAAAGTTTATACTGCAGATGTGTTCTGTTAATATATACACTTTCTAGCAACAAAGGCAGACCAGAGGCTCAGTATGGTTATACCTGAGGTGTTAAGCATTCATGACGAAAGAAGAATCAAAGAAGAAACAAAGATAAAGAAGAACCAAAGAAGAAACAAAGATAAAGAAGAACCAAAGAAAAGAAGAACCAAAGATAATTCTCATCCTATACTTGTTGCAGCAGGGAATGGCCACTGAGGACAAGGAGAGGGCTGAGGTCCTCAATGCCTTCTTTACATCTGCCTTTAATAGCCAAATCAGTTATCATCTGGGCTTTTTATGCCCTGATCTGGAATTAGGGGACGCTGCTCAGAATATGCCCCCAGCAATTCCGGTGGAGATGGTCGGAGAGCTCCTCCTCTGTCTGGACTGTGACAAGTCCATGGGACTGGATGGGCTGCACCCTCGGGTGCTGAGGGAGCTGGCGGGGGTAATTGCCAAGCTCCTCTCAGCCATCTATCAGCGTTCCTGGTTAACTGGTGAGGTCCCAGAGGATTGGAGGCTTGCTGATGTGACTCCCATCTTCAAGAAGAGCCATAAGGAGGATTTGGGGAACTACAGGCCTGTTAGCCTGACCTCGGTACCAGCGAAAGTAATGGAGCAAATCATCTTGGATGAGATTGCACAGCATGTGCGTGGTGTCCAGGGGATCAGGCCCAGCCAGCACGGGTTCATGAAAGGCAGATCGTGCTTGACCAACCTCATCTCCTTCTATGACTGGGTGACCAGTCTGCCAGATGAGGGAAGGGCTGTTGATGTAGTCTTCCTAGACTTCAGCAAAGCCTTTGACACGGTCCCTCACAGGCTTCTTCTGGGGAAACTGGCTGCCTGTGGTCTGAACAGGTCTACCCTTCTATGGGAAAGGAACTGGCTAAAGGGCCTTGTCCAGCGGGTCGTGATGAATGGAGTGAAGTCCAGCTGGCGACCCGTTTCAGTTGGTGTCCCCCAGGAGTTGGTACTGGGGCTCATCTTGTTTAATATCTTTACTGATGACCTAGATGAGGGCATTGAGTGCACCCTCAGTAAGTTTGCAGATGACACCAAGCTGGGAGGTGGTGTCGATCTGCCTGAGGGTAAGAAAGTCCTTCAGAGGGATTTAGATAAGCTGGATCGCTGAGCTGAGGTGAATGGGATGAGGTTCAACAAGGCCAAGTGCCGGGTCCTGCACTTTGGGCACAACAACCCCATGCAGCGTTACAGGCTGGGGGATGAGTGGCTGGATGAGTGTGAAGAAGAGAAGGACCTGGGGGTGCTGGTTGATGCTCTGCTGAACATGAGCCAACAGTGTGCCCAGGTGGCCAAGAGGGCCAACAGCATCCTGGTCTGCATTAGAAATAGTGTGGCCAGCAGGAGCAGGGAGGTGATCATCCACCTCTACTCAGCACTGGTGAGGCTGCACCTCGAGTACTGTGTTCAGTTTTGGGCCTCACTACAGGAAAGATGTTGAGGTCCTGGAGCATGTCCAGAGAAGGGCAACGAAACTGGTGAGGGGTCTGGAGCACAAGTCTTATGAGGAGCGGCTGAGGGAGCTGGGATTGTTCAGTCTGGAGAAGAGGAGACTCAGGGGAGACCTCACTGCACTCTACAACTTCCTGAAGGGAGGTTGTGGTGAAGAGGGATTTGGCCTCTTCTCCCAGGCAACGAGCAGGGCACGGGGCAATGGCCGCAAGTTGTGTCAGAGGAGGTTTAGGTTGGACATAAGGAAGAAATTCTTCTCTCAGAGAGTGGTCAGGCACTGGAATGGCTGCCCAGGGAGGTGGTGGAGTCGCCGTCCCTGGCAGTGTTCAAGAGGCGTCTGGATGACGTGCTGCATGATGTGGTTTAGTGCTTGTGGTGGCAATGGTGATGAGGAGACGGTTGGACTAGATGATCTTATAGGTCGTTTCCAACCTTGTAATTCCATGATTCTATGATTCTATGGAAATAATTTTCCCACAGTTCTATTCCTTTCTCAGGAGAGACCTGGACCACATACACTGAGAAGGTTATTTCAGGATCTCTTCCCAAAATTGCGATTTTCACAAGCACTAGGGGAGAACTTGATAGACAAGAAGATTTTTCATGTGTTGGATTTTGTTCACTATGGTTTCTTTGTCTTCTACTAACTCGTCTGTCTTGCTTTCCACTTAAACTATGAGCCCTTTAGAGTAGCAGCTTTTTCTAATCTGTGCTTGTGTAGCACCAGGCAGCAGGGGACACCAGTTTCTGACTAGGGATTCTAAGGGTATGAAAATTGTAGTAATTAACGTGACTAAGAATATCAGAAATGGATTTTTAAATGTATAAAATGGCTTAGCTTGGGATTTGCAACTGTGTGGGATTTGCAATTTCAACACATATAAGATTCATTGAACTTAGGGTGAGAAGAATCTGATAGCCACTTTCACAATAAAACATGCATTGGAGTAATAGAATTTTTTAAGGAAAGACATCAAACCTTCCTTCAGTCACTGTATCATAAGTCTACCAGCTTTAGATACACCAAGTATAAACAGGAAGAAGTTTCAATATGAAGTACTAAAAAGACTATTTTAATTTAATATTATTTCTAAGCCAAAACTAATGAAGTTTCTTTTACATTGCTTCCTTGTCTCTCACATTTTAAGCTCGCTAAAAAAATAGTTAAAAATGTAAGTTAAGGCAAATTCCAATCCACTCACTTAGAATTTTACTGAATCAGAGAAGCTCTTCTTTATGTCTTCACTGCAAAGTCGTCATTGTTAACAATGCAAAATTATCATTATTTTGATAGTGTTCATACATTCATTTGGTTGTTTTTATGTGGCATCCTAAAGTGTACTTAATGGAATAAAATATGCCAAAATCTGGGACCACTTTATTCAATAAAATGTAGGTTATCAAGGTGAAAGACTTCTTTAACAACAGCCAAACATTTATTCAGCTCCCAATTACTCATCTCAGAACTTGCTATATGTATAAGAATAGCAGGGAAAAATGCTGTTCTGGATGTTACTTCTTTTATATTCTATTAAAATTGTAATAGCCTGCTTCCATTATACATTTCCCTGTATATTTCAATCAACATGTCACTTAGCTGCTGCTCCTGAAGTGCACTTAATATTTTCATTAAAATCAATAAAGCCAAGAAATGACAAGGGTGCAGGTGGATGCAAGCAATTAAACTTCTCCTATATGTATTGTTAACTAGCATGTGGAAAAAGAAGCTTCATTCAACACCTGTCCCTTTTCTTTTGAATGGCAGCTAACAGAAATCCACTTAGCCAGCTTTTGTCTGCTTATTTTGCTGACAGATGATGTGAAGAAGTAGACAGTTACAGGGCCAGTAATTCAGAATTAATTTTCCCTTCAAAAGAATGATGTGGACAACCGAGTGCAGTAATGGTACCTGTTCAGAATTCAGGGGGTAAACAAGATAATTTGAGATGATGGGACAGAAATAAAAGCTCTATAAAGGTTTTCTCCTCGCATGACTCTCAGTGGCACACTCACTAGCAATTTTTGTCCATCTCAAATGAAAGTCAGAAGAGTTAATCATTGAAGTATTAGCCTGATGTACTTCTTGTGTGCTAGGATTGAAAAGGAAGAAAACAAAATAAGAGAATGACTATTGTGCCCCACCCAATATTAAAAATATGTGATAGTGAAAGACAATGCTTAAGCTTAAGATAGTTTATCAATCCTGTTTTCAGAACATGCTGCAAATTAAACAGAGCTGCTGATTGTACATTTGCAATAAAGGGATTTCAACATAACTGCAGTC